AGAAGTTATGTGATGGAAAGGAAAATAGTAGAATAGGATTATAAGCACATGTAATATTTGCAATGAAAATTTGTCTACAGCCATATGCCAATTCACTGTTTACCTTAACATTGACATAAAAGAAATCTGGTGAGGCTGTGAATGCAACTCATCATTGTAAGTAGGAAACCTACAGGGCCAAACTTGCAACTTGTTGTTCAACTACCTCAACCCTCTAGCTGAAATACGGATCTTGAGCTGATAGCTTAAAGATTTACAATGGTTATTTTTCATTAAACTGTTTATACTTCAGTCCTTCAAATTTTCAGACCCTTCCTACTACTGTTCTCCCGCAGCAACAACTTAGTCCCTCTTTCCCTGCCTTGAAATAGAAACTTTCTGTCATGAGTCAGGTATATTAGATGATTATTTGTATTTGTATTTGTTTTTATTTTTATTTTCTAATATTTATTTATTTTTGAAGGAGAGAGAGAGATAGAGTGTGAGCAAGGGAGGGGCAGAGAGAGAGATGGAGACCCACAATCCAAAAGCAGGCTCCAGGCTCTGAGCTGTCAGCACAGAGCCTCATGCAGGGCTCGAACCCATGTACTGTGAGATCATGACCTGAGCTGAAGTCCGACACTTAGCCAACTGAGCTACCCAGGTGCCCCGAGATGATTATTTAATGAACTATGTAAACACTGCCCACCCCCCACCCCCCGCCGGGGCTGAAAAATTATCATCCCTAAATACTAACTGGATTGTTATTGCTTTCAATCCCAATTAGGCCAGATAATCAACCCAGATTTCCCGCCACACACCACCATGTCTGTAAATGACAGGTACCTACTTTTCACACATTGTACTAAAGTCTCAAACAGTTTAGGCCCTTGGTTGCAGCCAAGGTTAGCTTTGCAAAAAACAAATTTATCAGAAGAAAAATTGAGTAGTTCACAGAATCCACAGAAAATTTAGAGAACCAGAGTCAGAAAATGGGTAGGAACCAAGGGAAGTCAGTCAGTCAGAACTCCATCTGGAATCATACCACAGAGACAGTCTTGGGTGGGTGCTGGTACTCAACACTGACCAACATAAATGGCATTGTCACTGGATTCCTAAAGAAGCACATGATAGCATGATAAAGGGAAAAGGCAAAAAGACAATGGATCAAGGCAGCATCAGATAAGTGCAGAAGCACACCCATGAACACACATTGCTGCTGTAGAAAAAGACAATAGAAAATTGGGCATTGACAGAGATAATGATCAAAACCCCTTACCACTCATCAGATTTTCTTCTTATAGCCTCAGGATTCCACGAGTTTGCTTACGGTCAAGTGGCTAATGCAAAGCTGAACCAAAGTAAACTACACTGACAATTTCTAGCATTGTATAGAAAGCTACTGACGACAATGAACTTACACTGAGCAGGTCCCATACCATCTTCTTCATGTATTTTGAAGAGATGGCCTCCAGGCATTGGTCTAATACCTTCTAAACTAGTGACCTTGAAACTTTTCTATTGCAATGCATGAAAAATATGCATTTTTAAATATAATTCAGTAGGCACTAAAATGTATGTGTGTGGGGCGCCTGGAAGACTCAGTTGGTCAAGCATCTGACTTCGGCTCAGGTCATGATCTCACCATTCCTGAGTTTGGGTCCCGCGTCAGGCTTTGTGCTGACAACCCAGAGCCTGGAGCCTGTTTCAGATTCTGTGTCTCCCTCCTTCTCTCTCTCTCTCTGCCCCTCTCCTGCTTGCACTCTGTCGCTCTCAATCTGAAAAATAAATATATAAAAAATACATACATACATACATACATACATACATACATAAAGTGTGTGTGTGTGTGTGTGTGTGTGTGTGTGTGTGTGTGTGTGTGGTCTATGGGTACATTCTATATGCAGGACACTGATATTTTCTGTTTTATTTTATCACATTTCTTTAAAATGCTGATTGTGGCCAGACCAAGACATTAATCTCATGACCCACTATGGATTACAAACCACCATATGGAAACCAGTAGTCTTTTTACAGAAAATTCCCAATGACTACTACATGCTGTAGTCCCCCTTCAGGGGTTTAAGGAGTGCACGCCTCATGTTGAGCACTGGGTGATGTGTGAAATTGTTGAATCACGATATTGTACACCTGAAACTAATATAACACTGTATATTAACTAATTGGAATTAAAATGAAAAATTCAGATAACATTGTCTGTTTTGTATACTGCAACTGTCATTTGGTACAGATGGGAGGGAACTCACAAGAAAAGAGTACATATGATTTCTTGTATGGTTGGTATCCTGTGCAGAGCTGTGCTTGGGCTGGGGTACAGCTGAATGCCATACTTTGTGGGACTTAGCCAAACAGTCTAACACTGTTAGACTGTGTTCCCATTTCATGAGGGAAGTGTGAGGTTTGCATTACACATGGTGGAGAATAAATAATGTGACATTAAGCATCAAGCAGGTTAAGCTTAGATGTCAGCACTTCAGGGCCTCTGGGAAATGCCATTCCCAGAGTCTGTGAACATTGAGCTTCAGTCCTGTAGGGATTTAAGCTTGTTCTCAGATTCTCTTGGTTGGATGAAAGGAAACCTCTGGTCTTATGGGAAGTTGCCGCCCTTCTCTAGAAAGAGGGGCTGCTGTCAGTCCCAGCTGTGGCTCCTTGTTCAGCAGCCACAGACAGTTCCTGAGTCACCTAAGAGGACATTTTTCTTCTCTCTACAATGTCTTTTATACTTTCTGCTGTGTCCAGTATTTCACAAAAGCTACCTTACAACTTACCTCCATCCAAGTCCAAATATGGGCTTATAAATCCATTCAGTTGACCACGGCTTAAATTCCACAGGAGCAAACAGGAAGTTAAATATTGGCATCAGGTTGGAGCCTACGCCTTGAAGTTGGAGGGGAGCAATTTAGAAATCAACAAAACTCAGGTTCTCATGACCCATAGCCACCCAGGCATTGGATGACATTAATTTTGTCGTCTGCTAATTAGGCGTTAGAATGAGAAGTCACGGTCTCTCACTCTTTTTAAATCACTTCCTGAGGGCACTGCAATAGGAATAAGGATTAGGAGAGTGAGAAAGTAAAATTTGGTAATGATAGTGCCTGCTGAGAAAAAAAAATTACACATATATACATATATATTAAAGAATGGGGATTATGACTGCTCTCACTTAAAAAAGAACCACAACTGTTTTAAACTGTTTCACACACATGCGCGCGGGCATGCACACACACACACACACACACACACACACACACACACCTTTCCCAATTCAAGGTATTTCTTTAAGTTAAGCCCAGTTGGATGGAATATATGAGTCACCTTAAAAATACATTCTAATTTAGTTACAAAAAGCTATTTGCTGGTCAATGTCCTCTTCCTCTCCTTCCTTTCCATAGACTACCTGAAACATTCAACTGACATGTTATATGGAAGCAAATAATAAAGGAAATCATGCACACAACCTACTATGTACATAACGAGAGTTTATTATTCTATGGGCTTTATCAACATAACTTTGCTATCAAAATCATCTCTTGCCTAGGAAGACAAAAGGTGAAAATAACATTACTGTCCCTTCCAGGAACTAACTGAAAGATCCATCAACTCTTCAGTAAAAAGTGCCAAATGACATTTTTCAACCATAAGGAATTTGAAACTTTCGACTTAATATTCTTGCCTTGCTGTGTCCACCAAACCTACACCATTTTAGCCCTATTTTTACTCAGTCTTCATCACAACCTCCCCCAACGTTGAAAGAATTGTTCCACTCCGACTTCACAATTTGAGTACGTATCTCTCCTGTCCGGCCACCTCGAAGACTCTGCTAAGACCCTGTCCAGGTAGTGTTTTCCCTGACAGAGTTATCCAGTAAAGTCAGCTTTACTTATCAAGTCGAGCATAGTCACCATTACTGAATGTAATGAACCAGTGGACTGAGCTTAAACCCCAGGACCAATATCGATAGAAACTTCTGAAATGTGCACTGATTGAAGGACCACAGGTACTTAGAGAAATCAGTTACCAAACCACAGGTTTCAATGTGCAGTAACACAAGCAAAAAAGTAAAGAAAACAGTTGTTAATGTATTTATTATACAGAGGAGAGCAAATTCACTCAAGTATGACAGCAAATCCAGAAGCATGGAAGGGAATGATTGATCAAAGCATGTATAAAAATAGTATTAAAGTACTTAGTATCTATTTTTGTTACAGATATCTTTCTGAGAAACATTCAGCACTAACGGTGACTTGTAACTGTCTGGCCCCAAAGTATCTGGTTGCAAAAGAGAGCTCGGGCAGGAGGAAAAAGGCCACTCTTCAAGCACCATGTCGGGAACTCTGCGGACACTGCCTTCCCACGCCTTGGCTGCAGGCGTGGGAAGAAGTCCACCAACATTGCCTACACCCAGTCAGTACGCACATATCCACGTCAGTACGCACACACGTTGTACCAGGCCTTTCCTGCGCATGCCCATTGTTAAGAAGGACCGTTGCTGAGCATGCGCCCTGCTGCCCACGCGTCCTGTGAGCAGAGCCGAGGAAGAAGCGGTGGTGTGGACGGTGTCGTGATCTTTCTGGCTGCCTGCCCTCAACCGGTAGGTCCACAAATCAGTCCTTCCAGGCCTTTAAGTGTGAGTGACTGAGGAGAGTGCCAGTGGGCCTCGGGCGGGTCGGGACGGTAGATCTGTGGCCTCGGAGGAGGAAGTTGCTAGGAGTTAGCGTTCTCCTCACAGGCGTCGCGGCCGCCATGGCCCTCGTCCTCGTGGTGGTGGGACGGGGACAAGTGAGGACAGCTGGCGGCCGAGGACGGGGGAGATGAAGACAGGGTGGGTCTTGGGGGCGTTCTTTGAGGTATCTGAGTCCTGCAAGCACCTGGAACTGCCGGCGGAGCACTGAAGCCAGAGTGAGTCCTCAGTGGGACCCTGGGTGGGAGGCGGGCCAGGCGGTACAGAACAGGTCTGGAAGGGGCGCCTGTGGGCGGGGGCGGGGGGGGGGTGGGGGTGGGGGTGGGGGAGGGGGTGCGGTCAGTAGGCAAAGTGGCTGGCTGACGCTGGATCTCAGGTCAGGTCTAGATCTCAGGGTGGTGAGTTCGAGCCCCACCTGGGCTCCAGGATGGCCGTGAAGTCTACTTAAAACAAAAAACAAAAAACGGTGTGTGGGGCTGGAAACGGGGAACGGTGTGGGGTTGGAGCTGCGTCCCGGAGATTTCTATCGCACTGTGCAGGGTGTCAAGGGAGGAGCCGGCTCACTGGTCAATATCGAAACTGGACACCTTGGGCCCTTGTAGTGGGAAGACAGCCATAGGCAGTACGCAAACGATTAAGACTTCTCTGTGTTCCAAGGAAACCTTATTTAAGAGGGTAAAATGGGCCCAGTAACTGGGAATGTGAAAACAATGGCGACTCAGGTTTAAATATCCAGCATTGTTTTCTCACATGCCTTTATGATGGGGAATCTAGCTGTGAAAGTAAGCCTCGCGTTTTCTCCTGTCCTTAAGGTGATTTGACTGCCAGTTTGGCCGATGTGAATGATCTTGCAGCCGTTTATTTGGTGTGACCACAGCATGTACACTATCCTTACGCAAGGTTGATTTTGAAAGTATTTTCAAAGTAAAAAAAAAATTAAAATGTTATGCCTTGGAGGTGGTGTACCTAGCCTTTAGAATACATTTTCCAAATACTGATATTCTACTTTCAGGGTGAAAAATGAGTGGGCGTGTGAGAACAAGGTCTAAATCTAAACAAAGAAAGGATGATGGCAAGGCTAACCAGCCAGCTGCACCTGTGGCTATGAGTACTTCAGCAATTGATGTTCTATACCATCAGTTTATTTCTCTGAAAATGTTGTTGTACTACAAACGTACAGATACAGTGATAAAAGTTTCTTTGCTGGGAAGGGGCAGAAAACATTGAAGCAGAAGGATTCCATACTTGTGTTCCCTGGGTAAATATACCCTATGACTCCTTTGTCATGCTTACTAACAACGAGTTGTACGTATCCATCCCAGCATAGTTTAAAATAGCCTCCAAAATGCTTGTGGGTACCTCTTCTGGGTAGCCACTCTGTGGGAAGAGTAACTCTTTTTTAATTTAAATTTTACTTAGCGTACAGTGCAATATTGGCTTCAGGAGTAGACTTCAGTGATTCATCACTTACGTACAACACCCAGCGGTCATCACAAGTGCCCTCCTTATCACCTGTCACCCATCTGTGCCATCCTCCACCCACCTACCTCCATCAAGCCTCACTTTGTTCTCTATCCTTAAGAGTCTCTTGTGATTTGTTTCCCCCTCTCCTTTATTTTTACTTCCCTTCCCATATGTTCCTGTTTTATTATTAAATTCCACATATGAGTGAAATCATAGGGTACTTGCTTTCCTCTGATTGACTTCTTTCACTTAGCATAATACATTCTAGCCCCATCCACATTGTTGCAAATGGCAAGATTTTAATACCTTTTGATGACTAATATTCCATTATATGTATGTGTATATAAATGGCCATATAACTTTTAGGAATACAATACAGAATTATATTTTATGTGTTTTTATGCTTATTTATTATTTGACATAAAATGCGTAACATAGGTTTATATTATTGGCATGCATTAATGCAACTTTTTGTTTACACACACACGCACACCCTAGGCCCAGCAGCCCAGTGATGAGCAACCTCAACAAAAGGAGGCACCCACTGAGTGTCAAGATATTATGCCGGAGCGAGAGAAAGCAGTTGAAGAAGCACCTCTGGAGGAAGGTGAAAGGAAAGGGAAAAAGAATGCTTATGGGGGCACAGGGTATATTTTTGCATCACGCATTATGACGTAACAGGACAAAACAAAACCTTAGAAGAGAATCTCAGCCATTTCCTGAAAATTGTTTCAAAATGTGAATAGAGTTTTCAGCTGTATTCACTCTAACGAATTTCCCCTTTTTCTTCAAGATTTACTTTTTTTTTTTTTTTAATTTTTTTTTTTCAATGTTTATTTATTTTTGGGACAGAGAGAGACAGAGCATGAATGGGGGAGCGGCAGAGAGAGAGGGAGACACAGAATCGGAAACAGGCTCCAGGCTCTGAGCCATCAGCCCAGAGCCCGACGCGGGGCTCGAACTCACGGACCGCGAGATCGTGACCTGGCTGAAGTCAGACGCTTAACCGACTGCGCCACCCAGGCGCCCCTTCAAGATTTAATCTGCTTGAACATGCAGTCTGTTCTTAATCAGAGGAAACTGTTTACTACAAAAGTATACATTTTTTCACTAGTTGAATTTGTTCTTAGAACATTTTTGCGTGGCCTTTCCCTTCCCTGCATCAAAAGTGTAAGCTGGTTTTAATAGTGTGTGCAGAGTGCCGAGACAGCATATCTTATAACATCAGGAATAAAGAAGATTTGCATAGGGATGGTAGCCTCATTTTATAAATAAGAAAACTAAGGTTCAGGGATTGTGGCTTGCCAAAGACTGCTTGACACATGGAGACATAACTCATATTTCATTACACGGTTTTTGTACTTCCTACCATCTGTGTTGTTATACCAAAATGTGAATGCTTTTGTATAAAATGCTTAATACTCAAATGTGTCTGTACTGTAAAATAGCGTAGTACATGCACAGGAATAAATGAAGTTCAGTGGAGCAAGAGATAGACTCCAGAAAAAGGCTCAAGGAATGAGAGCCACCATTTCCTTTGCTTAATCATTTGATATGGTACATTTGGGAAACGCTGTATAATTTGGGAGACTGGCATATAGGTAAACTATATTAGTGTGATTTTTAAGTGGCTTTAGGAGGTGTTTAACAACTTATGATTAGGAAAATCAAAAGTATCTTAAAATGATCATGAAACGGAAATTACCAGCTTCCAAAGAAAGTATTTTCATCAGATACTTGTATGGAATTATTGACATCATTCAGGCCATGGATTATTTTAGGAATTCGCTGGTAAGAGGTTTCTACAATAGGACTTATGACAAAGTCCATTAATTTCTTTCCACCCTGCTCCCTTTATTCTCACTGTAAGACAAAAGTTTGACTATAAGTCACTAATATTTTGCTGTTATTTTTGATACTTGGTTCTCTGCATGATTCATTTATCATAAGTTATAGAGAGAGACTTTGCCCCTAAATCTAACTAGTTAAATTTCACAAAATAGCTTTCAGGTTGCTCCAATAGGAGATGTATGTCACTTGTGTAGGATTTGTCATAGGCCCACAAATGCACTCAGCTAATTGTTCAGGAAATTAAATTTTAATTTTCATTAAAATCCTATCCATGGTGCAGGGTGCCTGGGTGGTTCACTCAGTCAGGTGTCACACTCTAGATTTTGCCTCAGGTCATGATATCGGGGTTCGTGACCTTGAGCCCCGCATCCAGCTGTGCACTAGGAGTGCAGAGCCTGTTTGTGATACTATTCTATCTCCCTCTGTGTGCCCCTCCCCTGATCATTCTCTCTCTAAATAAATAAATAAACTTAAAAAAAAATCCTGTGCATGGTGTACATTTAAGATTTCTTAGCTGATGCTCTCTATTCTTAGTACACTGTGGTAATATAATGCAAATGTAGATTTAGTGTGGTTTCTCTTTAGATTGTTATTTGAAGTAAGGTTTCATATTACAGAAAAACAAAGATGGGAAGTCCATCTTTCCATCGCTTTTTTTGTTACCCTAAGTCTACAGGCTTGTATTTCATATAATGGCAAGAATACATATTATCACTTCTTTCTTTATATTTTATGTTTACTCCTTAAATTGATTATCTTTTTTTTTTTTTTTTTTTGGTAAGGCCCTGACCTGGAATCTGGTATCCAGGAACTGCCTGTGCCAAAGACTGGGGGCAAAAGTGAAGATGACAGTGATGTGAAGGGGGCAGATGTCCCAACACTGGAGCCCGTGAAGATGCCTGAAGCAGATATGTTATCCATTGAGAATGCAAAGTATGCAGATATTTTCCTGAATATTATATCTTTACTTATGTAGATATGACTTTATTGATACTTTAATGACAGAGTTTACACATAAAGGTAACTTTCATAAGTAGTTCAGACCCTAATTTCCTGACTGCCTGACTTATACCCTATCAGATGTAGACTTAAATTGGGTCAGAGCCTTCTTAAATAATAAAAAAATGAAACCATTTCCTTTTTTATAAAGTGTAAATACTGGGGCGCCTGGGTGGCTCAGTCAGTTAAGCATCTGACTCTTGATTTGGCTCAGGTCATGGACTCGCAGTTTGTGAGATTGAGCCCCATGTTGGGCTCTGTGCGGACAGCATGGAGCCTGCTTGGGACTCTCTCTCTTCCTCTCTCTCTGTCCCTCTCCCATTTGTGCTGTCTCTCTCTCTCACTCTCTCAAAATAAGGAAATAAACTTTAAAAAATAAATAAAATACACTGTAAATACTTTAACCGATGGCTACTTAAATTCAGAATCTTTTTTTTTTTTTTTTAATTTTTTTTTCAACGTTTATTTATTTTTGGGACAGAGAGAGACAGAGCATGAACGGGGGAGGGGCAGAGAGAGAGGGAGACACAGAATCGGAAACAGGCTCCAGGCTCTGAGCCATCAGCCCAGAGCCTGACATGGCTCAGAGCCTGACGCGGGGCTCGAACTCCCGGACCGCGAGATCGTGACCTGGCTGAAGTAGGACGCTTGACCGACTGCGCCACCCAGGCGCCCCAAATTCAGAATCTTCTATAATTTCCTCTTTTAAAAACCACAAAATGCATTTGGAGTAAATACCAGTTTGTATGAAATATGCTGAGGCACTGAAGTAGGTTCTAATACTAGCTCTAACATAAGTTGTGTGATTCTGGGAGAATCCCTTCACTTCTGAATGCATCTTGGCTCATATATTTAGTGATTTCAAACCAGATATATTGCAGTCAGTTTTTATTGCTGATTTTTGTATTCTGTGGTTCTATTGGATAATATACATGGAATACAAAAATCTCCCATTTTGTATGATTTATTTGTCATCAGATAAAATCTTTGGTCAAATTTTAACATCTGAGTTGAGATTTCATTGCTACTGAGAACAAGAAGACACACTGCTTGATGTTGGTTTTTCTCTATGGAGACCTGGATACCTGTTCTTAAATTTTGTCAGACTCTAAATTATTGTGGCTCTTACGAAACACGTGCCTTTTGAAACCTTTCCCCAATGAAGGCTCAAATGACTGAGTGATAAAATGGCAAGAGATAGTCTAGTTTCTAGTTTCTGTGGCACATCAAGTAGGGAGAGTGCATGGGTGTTACATGTAAGCGATGAATCCCTAAATTCTACTCCTGAAACCAGTATGACACTAGATGTTAACTAACTTGAATCTAAACATAAAGATAAAAAAATGAAACTACCTTTCAATAGGTTCATTTCATTTTATCTGTTCTGAACCTGAAGTGTTTTTTTCTTTTCTTGTACCTGTAGAAAGTGTGGTGTGTTCCAAAAATGTTGGTAAAGCATATGCTTGGAATTCTATCTTATAAAATAAAAACTATAGTGTCCTCTGTATATCATTAATTTAATGTAAATAAATTCTGCTGAGTAATGTTTCCAACTCTGTGTCTGTCTTACAGGTGAAGGACAACCGAAAGTGTAAGCAAGAAGAAGCTGAAACCATGCAAACTGCTCTCATGTAGGAAGGACACTTCACTGTTAAAAATCCCTCAATAAAATCTTACAACTTTCTCCAAAGACTCTTTCAAACCTTTGTTAAACTTACTCTAAGTATTAGATGCTATTGAAAATTGTGTCATTTTTTGAAATTTTATATTCTGATTGAGCTGGTAAGTGCAGATATATCTGTACATCGATACTCTCTCCAGAAGCCTTGCTACATAGGATTTAATGCCAGAGGTGTATGTCAACATCCATTATGAGCTTCAACGTACACAATTCTATCATCTTTGAATACTAACGGTTTGTTCCTGCTGTTTTAAACATTATCCCCCCTCTTTGCTTTCTTATTTCACAATATTGGACAGACCCACCCAGTACAGTGTTGGAAAGTATTGGTAAATAATGGACATCCTTGTCTTACTTCTGGTAGGAATTAGAAAATTTTTAGCATTTGACTATATTTACTGTGACATAAAAGAAGTTCCATTCTTAGGTTAGTTTCCTAACAATATTTCTATTGAATATATGTTGACTTTCATCAAACACTTGTAGAACGTTTATTGAGATGATTGTAGCAGTTTCCTTCCATGAATCTGTTAACGTAATGAGTTTCATACATATTTTCCTATGTTTAATTTTTTTTAATGTTTATTTAGTTTTGAGAGAGAGAGAGCGTCAGCCGAGAAGTTGCAGGGACACAGTGAGACACAGAATCTGAAGCAGGCTCCAGGCTCTGAGCTGTCAGCACAGAGTCTGACGTGGAGTTCAAACCCACAAACCGTGAGATCATGACCTGAGTTGAAGTCTGGCGCTTAACCGACTGAACCACTTAGGCACCCTAATATTTTCCTATGTTTAAATCAACCATACGCTACTGGGAGGGAATGTTCATGATCTATGATCTTTCTGAATAACCTACATCATATTAATTAGGTTAGAATTTGTATTAATATCTTCATGAGTGACATTAGCATCTACTTTTATTTCGTATACACTCTTGGATTTTAGTATCAAGGATATACTGGCTTCATAAAATTTATTGGTATGTAAGACCTCTTTTTCTATCCTCTGGATCTGAAGACCCTGAAAGGCTGTGAGTAATGTTGGACTAGAGTTTCCCATGTTCAGCTGTCTCTGGATTGCATCTTTCTTGGAAATTGGACCCTACCTAAATGGCGGGAACCTCCAGATCCACATCATTTCAAATTTGGTGAGGTGCCCATCTTCCCTGCAAGATGTCTCTAATGATGCCATCACTCCGAAAGCTACCTCCTCCAGTTTCTACGCTGTTATTAATCTTCTATTCCCAGAAAGTTAAAAGTCATGGCTCTGTTAACTAGATAATTTTGATCTGTGCTCTATAATTGTGAATAGCTGGCCATCCACTGATTGTGTGCACTTAGGACAATAGATCCATTTATTGAGTTTTTAAAGAATGAGTTACTATAAAAACTCCTCTATTGATAGCATGTATACTATATGTCAGTGTCTTCTTTCTCCTAGGCTCCATACATGTATAACTTCATTTAATCTTCACAAAAAGGTGTGTCAGAGTGTACCCACAACTTACTTTTGACTCTAATAAGCAGTAGATTTTGGGATTCAGTTCTAAGAAGCCCTTGGTCATCCTCAAAGTAAATACATCTGGAAATGTTGGTCAGGAAAACTGATGGTGTACATGATGACGATACTGGCAATCTGACGTTTTCATAAAAATTTATAGTAATTTTATAATGTTTGACATGAAGGGCTTTGTCCTTTTGAAGGACAGGTTTCACAAAATGTGGCACACAGACTTCACATGGTTTTCCAGATGATTTCATTGATACAAAAAAAACCATTTAAAATTTTAAAATAAGAGCATACTTATTTTACTGTGCTGTAATATAATAACTACAACACCAAAGCTATTTGGAACAGTTTATCCAAAGTCAAAGAATGATGTCACAGGCCCCATGGCAAAAAAACCACAGATCTCCTGCAAAACTTCTTTCTTCAAAAGTTATTTAATGGCAGGGATATTAGCCACTCTTACAGGTGTGAGGTGATATCTCATTATAGTTTTGTATTTTGTATTTGTATAGACTTGTATTTGACGAGTGATGTTGAGCGTCTTTTCGTGTGTCTGTTGGCAATTTGGAGGTCTTCTTTACAAAAGTGTCTATTCATGCCTTCTGCCCATGTTTTAAATTGGGTTATATGTTTTTTTGGGTGTTGAGTTTTATAAATTCTTTCTATATTTTGGATACTAACCCATTATCAGAAATGTAATTTGCAAATATCTTCTCCCATTCTGTAGGTTGCCTTTTAGTTTTGTTAATGGTTTCCTTCCCTGTGCAGAAGGTGTTTATTTTGATGAAGTCCCAGTGGTTTATTTTTGCTTTTGTTTCCCTTGCCTCAGGAGACATAATCTAGAAAGAAGTTGCTACAGCAGATGTCAAAGAGGTTACTGCCTGTGTTCTCCTCTAGGATGTTGATGGTTTTGGGTCTCACATTTAGGCCTTTGATACATTTTGAATTAATTTTTTTTAAATTTATTTAAATACAAGCTAGATAACATACAGTATAGTCTTGGCTTCAGGAGTAGAACCCAGTGATTCATCTCCCCCATGTGACAGCCAGTGCTCATCCTGAGAAGTGCCCTCCTTAATGCCCATCACCCATTTAACCCATCCTCCCACCCACCAACCCCTCCAGCAACCCTGTTTATTCTCTGTATTTAAGAGTCCCTATGGTTTGCCTCCCTCTCTGTTTGTATTTCATTTTTGTGTATGGTGTAAGAAACTGGTCCAGTTTCATTCTTCTGCATGCTGTTGTCCAGCTTTCCTAACCATTTGTTAAGGAGCCTGTCTTTTTCCTCGTGGATATTCTTTCCTGCCTTATCGAAAATGAATTGACCATATATTTGTGGGTTCCTTTGTGACCATATATTCGTAGGTATTTTATTCCGTTCCATTGATCTATGTGTCTATTTTGGTGGCAGTACCATACTGTTTTGATCACTACAGCTTTGTAATGCAATTTTATGTCCCAAATAGTGATGCCTCCAGGTTTGCTTTGCTTTTTCAAGGTTGCTTTGGCTATTCTGGGTCTTTTGTGGCTCCCTACCAGTTTTAGGTCTGTGACAAATGCTGGCAGTATGTTGATAAGGATTGCATTAAATGTGTAGATCACTTTGCATAGTTTTGACAGTTTATCAATATTTGTTCTTCCAATCCACGAGCATGGAATGTCTTTCCATTTCTTTGTGTCATCTTCAATGTCTTTCATCAGTGTTTTAGTCTTCAGAGTGCTACAAGGATTTCACCTCTCTGGTTAGATTTATTCCTAGGTATCTGATTGTTTTTAGTGCAATTGTAAATGGGATTGATTCCTTAATTTCCCATTCTGCTGCTTCCCTATTGCTGCATAGAAATGCAACAGATTTCTATATGTTGATTTTTGCATCCTGTGACTTTATTAAATTCATGTATCAGTTGTAGAAATCTTTTGGTGAAGTCGCTTGGGGGGGTGGGGTTTAAACAAGAGTATCATGTCTACTGCTGCAGAAGAAGCAACAGGTGTTGGCAAGGATGTGGAGAAAGGGAAACCCTCTTACACCCTTGGTAGGAATGCAAACTGGTGTAGCTACTCTGGAGAACACTGCAGAGGCCCCTCAAAAAGTGAAAAGTAGAACTACCCTATTGTCCAGCAATTGTACTACTAGGTATTTACCGAAAGAATACAAAAATACCAATTCAAAGGGATACATGCACCCCGATGTGTATAGCAGCATTATTTGCAATACCCAAGCAATGGCAACAGCCCAAGTGTCCATCAACTGATGATGAATGGATAAAGATGTAGTATAGGGGTACTGGGTGTCTCAGTAGGTTAAGTGTCCAACTTCGGCTCAGGTCAGGATCTCACAGCTCGTGGGTTCGATCCCATTCAAATTGGCAAGGAATAAGTCAAACATTCAGTATTTGCAGATGACATGATACTCTACGTAGAAAACCCGAAAGATTCCACCAAAAATGTTCTAGAACAGATACATGAATTCAGTAAAATCACAGGATACAAAATCAGCATACAGAAATCTGTTGCATTTCTATACACCAATAATGAAGCTGCAGAAAGAGAACTCAAGGAATCAATCCCATTTACAATTGCAGCAAACCATAAAGTACCTAGGAATAAACCTAACCAAAGAGGTAAAAGATCTGTATGCTGAAAACTATAAAACATTGATGAAAGAAATTGAAGATGACACAAAGAAATGGAAAGACATTCCATGCTCATGGATTGGAAGAAAAAATATTGTTAAAATGTTTATACTATCCAAAGCAATCTACACACTTAATGCAATCTCTATCAAAACACCACCAGCATTTTTGACAGAGCTAGAACAAACAATCCTAAAACTGGGATGGAACCATGAAAGATCCCAAACAGTTAAAGCAATCTTAAAAAAGAAAAGCAGAGCTGGAGGCATCATAATTCAGGACTTCAAGTTATATTACAAAGTTGCAGTGATCAAGACAGTATGGTACTGGCCCAAACACAGACATGTAGACCAATGGAACAAACTAGAAAACCCGGAAATAGACCCACAACTATATGGTCAACTAATCTTCAACAAACCAGGAAAGAATATCCAATGGAGGAAAAGACAGTCTCTTCAACAAATGGCGTTGGGAAAACTAGATAGCTACATCCTGAAGAATGAAAATGGACCACTTTCTTGCACCATACACATAAATAAATTCAAAATGGCTGAAAGATCTAAATATGAGACGGGAAAACATCAAAATCCTAGAAGAGAACAAAGGCAGCAACCTCTTGGACATCAGCCAAAGCAACTTCTTACTAGATACGTCTCCAGAGGCAAGGCAAACGAAAGGAAAAATGAACTTTTGCAACCTCCTCAAGACAAAAGGCTCCTGCACAGCAAAGGAAACAATCAACAAAACTAAAAGGCAACCTACAGAATGGGAGAAGATATTTACAAATGGCGTATCTGATTAAGGGTTAGTATCCAAAATCCATAATGAACTTATCGAACTTAACACCCAAAAAACAAATAATCC